AGCTGACGGCGCGGTAGGGTGCAGCCACCGAGGGACTGGCACAGCTCCATCCCCTTCGTTTACCCTCCGGCCTTGTCTCCGTAGGCAAGCGTAGCGCGGGGTCGAGCCGCCGGCGTGTGGGCGCCAGGCCATCGCCACTGCTTCGGAAGGCTGCTGAAGCCAAGTCGGAGAGAAGGAGCTTTTTTTCTCAGCACCAGGCAGAGAGCTTGCCGTTTGGATGGACGCTGGGAAGATCTTGGTGAGGAAACGTGGAGTCTATCGCTGGCCTTTGCTTAGGGCTGCTGGGAGACTGCCATTGTCATGGTTTCTTGGCTGGCTGGTTCCCACCTGAGTTTCCTCAAGTACTGCCTGAGCTCTAAGCACCTTTGCCGTCCCCGAGTCGTTTTACCCGGTGTCCTCCTGCATGCTGAATGACAGCGTTTCCTCCTTGTGCAGAGGTCTGCTAGAAGATGTCAGGTGGAAAGAAGCACTCCAAAACACTCTGCCCTCTAGGTGAAGCCCAGACTGTTTGATTGGGGGTGCTGATCCCTTTCAGAGGAAATTCCGATTCTATTTTTTAATCTTAGGCCATGGTATGCACTATCCAAAATAGTGGCAACCCAGCAAAGAAGGAGAGCATTTGGGATAATTAGGTCACACAGTTTCCGATGGACCAGTTAGTGAAGTAACAGCAAGCATGGTCTAATGCTTCGTTGCCCCTGGTACCAGGGAGAGCAAGTTCTTTGTGTTATTATTTCTTGGAGCTGAGTTTCAGCATAGCTAACATTTGTGTCTGCCTAAGAGATCCTTATTAGGCTGCCTGCCTTAACATAGTTTCCTTACACCTATGACATGGCACTTGCTGCACTTAGAGCCACATCAGGCAGTGTCCTGTGCACCTTTCACGGCATAATTCCTTAGACTGTCTTTTTCTTCCTTGTCTGCCACTCCATATTTCCAGTAATGAGGATTTATTTATATTTTCTCTTTGCTCACTAGAAACTGGGAAAATAATGTATTGAGAGGTAGGGCATTGGGTGAGTTTTTTATTTATTTGAGGAGGTGGGCGGTTTGGGGATTGGGTTTGGTTGTTTTACAAAAAGAGACCTGCAAACAGACAGGTAATGTCTTTGCTTTTGTTAATGTGTGAGGAGGAAAGTAAACCAAAAACTTAAGTGTTTCTTCCTGTCTTCTGTGCCTCTTGCTGATCTTGGTGTCCTTGGGAACAGTTTTCTGCATGAAGATGGACAATCCCCTGTATTAGAATACTTTACGTGAAAACTCAAATGCTGTTTCAAAACTGAAACCAAGGTGTTCCCTTGTTGCATCAGATCCTCTAGAAGTTGTGTGTACTGTATCCCCCAGAACAAACGAGCCTGGTCTTCTGTCTCCAGGCTGAAATGCAGCGCATTGCTCGAGTTTCAGGTGGGCTCGGTTTGTTAGTTGCCTGAAAAAGGGATGCTAGCAGTTAACTTCTGCCATAAATACTTTCTTTTCTGTTATTGCAGGAAGATAATACCACATGCCACTGAAACGACCAGAGAAGTCGGTAACCTTGAGGATCCCACTTCCTCCAATAGCCCACATCCCAGGTCTCGGTGACCTTGCAAAACTCCCCATGAAGTGCGGTCTCGGTGCCGCAGGAAGTGGATCAAAGAGACCGATTCAGCTTCCGTCAAGCTGGCAAAGCAAGGAGGGCGACCTGGTGAGCCTCTGTCTCGCTTGTTTGTTTTTCCTTTGTTTTCTTTGGCTTTGCTTGAGTGTGGTGGTAGAAAGTGCTTGTAGATACTATAGAATAATCCTCTGGAGTTTTGAAATTAACCTATGGAAAAAATGAGCAATTGAAAATGTGATGTAAGAGGTCACCTTGTCAAGACACCCTTGCAGTCTGTTGTGTATAGGTTCTTAGGAAAACGTGTGGTTTTGCACTGTATCTGATCTATGTACGTGATGACAGTTTAGCTGCGAGTGAGGTCTTTACAATTTATGCTTGGGCTATTTAGGTAGTGGTCTGGTCAAAATGCTGCTGTCACAAAAAAGCATCATCAGAAAACTTGGTAGAGGTTTATAAAGTGGTTTTGTGATGACATTCGGTTTGTTACAGTGCTGTACATATTCTGTTCTTGTACCAAGGTGATCTGTGGTTTTGTTATTTTCATTATCGAAGAAGGAAGCTTGAGGAACTTAAACAGGTGGCTTGCATGCACACTTAGAGCAGGGTGACAAATCCAGAAATATGAATTAACAGACCAGTAGAAACACATCAAAGAATTTAGAGCAAGATAAACAAAGTATAAATGGAACACAGTGCTGCAAGGTTGTGACTGCCCCTTTTATCAAGGGAGACAAATGCTCCTTACTGAAGCAAGCATTTCTTCCTGATAAAACAGCAACCTGAAAACTAAGGTAATGTTTTTGCAACCAGATAAGAAGTCAGAAAAGTGGTGGCTTTTGTCTTTTTCTCTCACGACCGATGGAAGCACTATACTCCTGTGACAATGAAGTCCTCTCCAGCAGCATATGCTGCACCTGACTGGTACTCGCACTACTCCAGTCCCCTGGCAACTGATGATCCATGGCAAGTCTGCAGAGACCCCACATAACTTCTTGGGTTCTCTCTTTGCCTGTTAGTGTTTCAGAATACTTTTGTACTAAAGTGCAAAATATGTATCCCTTGTACAAATGACTATTAAATCCCTGCCTGCAGGAGCTATGTTTCCTCTCTACCAGACTATAGGGTTCATGGTGAGTTTAAGGCTGATGACCATCATGGTAATAGTTATGAGACAAGAGGGCCTTTTGATTTTGATGTGAAAAGTGTTTGGCAGCAGGATGCTGAGGAAAAAGAAGGTATGATGGAGAGGCACTGTGGGACGATGCTTTGTAGAGCTTGTGAAGACACTTCTAGCTGGGCCTGTGGGTTCATGTAGAAGGGAAGCTGTAGTCCACCTGAGCTTCCAGTCTTTATATTGCAGTCACAGAATGAGAAGAAAGCGGTGTTTCTCTTAAGTGCTGCAGGTATAGCATATGAACCAGAAATGCAGTTTCCAATCATACTATATGGTCCATATACTTCAGTGTGAATGAAAGACAGTAGTTAGTTTCTATCTTCTTATGCTTTATTTCCCCTGCAATTCACTCTTGGTGAAGAGAATTCCCCTCTTGGGGGAGGAAGAAAGAAGGAGGAAGGAAAGAAGACTGTTCTGAAAAAGGAGTTTGTTGTAGTTTAAAATGCAAATGGGTCCACAAAGACAGGGCACTAGGTGTCTTTGAATGGAAGATTTATCCAAGATAAAATAAGTATAGCACAAGCTATTCCCAGAACAAATCCTTCTGTGATGATCTTGGCGTTTTGTCCTGGAAACCTCTCTCCCATCCTCTCTCTTTCGTCCTCCTCACCCCTGCCCATTTTAGATGCTTAAGCCTTAAGGTTTTTTTAACACCCTCTGTAATCTTGGTTGCCTGATTTACTCTGAGGTGAAGGGTCTTTGGACTATACATGGAAAGGCATTTGGTGTACTTGAACACCTGTATCTCCCACTTTGATTCAGTCATGTTAATGAAAGTTCCTATGTGTTTTATTTATCATCAAATACAAAGTGAATATATGTTATGTATTCAGCTCAGATTGCAAATCTGCTGAGGCCCTGGTATATAATTTACCCTGCTCTTCTGGAAGCTGAATTTGAGTTTTGTCTAAGGTACTAAATCTACCAATCTTTTTCTTTGGGAGTAGATGCCTGAGAAGGCATATTCTGTGCCTCTAGCTTTAGCTCTACCTCCACACCACCATCTCTGAACTGGTTGTCATTCACAGTACCTTTCTCGTACCCTGAAAAGTGTCTCATGTATCTTGAAACATCACATGGTGCTTCTTTTGCAGCTATTTCTTGTATCTCCTCTTACAAGAGGTTTCTATCCTGTGCTTTAAGAGTATCTTTCTGAAGAGTCTTCAAGTGAGACAGTGGATCTAGCCCTACGAAACAGTCTTGATTTTCGTTTTCTTACCGTACATTTTGCATGTTGAAATTGAGAGGTATTCCAAAACACCATAGGCAAATTTCTAAGGGATATTCAATTTGTTTGACTACTTGATGATACTGCAGCAGCAAACTACCTCAAGTATTGAGACTGAACGTATTGAAAATATTTTTCAGTCCAGTCTGACTAAGCAGTTTTTCAGAAGGGAGATGCGTGATGCAATTGTGGAGATAAATCCCAAAGGGAGCCCTTAGGGACAAGTGCAAAAACATTTTAACCTCTAAGGGTACCTCTTCGACTCAGTTTGGAAAATGGTGTTCCCAAGTGGGCTCTTACTCTGGAGCTTTAAGCCTTTGTGCCACTTTGTTCTGAAATACTAGAATCTCCACTGTTCCTCATATTATGGTTGTCGCTGCATAGAGGAGGACTGGAGATCAGGCGGACCATTACATGCCTCAGGATGGATCCTGTAGTTCCTCCCTAACACCTTAATCGTGGGGATAATTCGCATTCTTCTGGTAGTTTTGCAGAGCAAAATTTAAAGACATTTAGGGCCTTTAATATAAACTTCACTTTTGAAAGTTATATTATCATATATTCTTCATTTTTTTTTGTCATAACACCTTTTATTAAGTTAAGATTTCTGTAACACAGGTAAAGCTCCCAGCTATAAACCCTAAATACCCAAGAAGAATGCTGAATGTTTCTACAAACAAGGAATTTAGTGTGAAAAATAAGCTTTCCTTCCCACCTATGTAAGTAGTACTCTGTAAAATTCATTAAACCTCTTAAGCCTGTATTTTCATGCAAGTAATATTACTTCTTGTAAAACTGCAAAGATCAGTGGATATGTGTATGAACTTTACTGCTACTAAACTTGCTATCGTGTAATACTAAAACAGTTTTACAAACAATTAAAACAATAGCACAATAGCACTTTTACTCGTGTAGGAAAGCTATTCAGTGTAACTTTGCTTTAGGAAAACTAAGTGTACAAGTTGCATGTCTTCGTGTAGCACACTTTTATTGTATTCAAAATTGTCTGTTTTTTTCTCAATACCAGTGAACAGATGCAAACCATAATGTACATTGTTAGTTCTGTGAGCATAGGTTACAGAGACATGAGTAGGACTACTTTTTTAATACAACACATAAACTGTAGCCTATAGAAGGTCAGGCACAGCAAAAATATTGTAATGAACACCTGGAAGATAGTAGTCTTTTAAGCAAATTATTATATTACCTTGACGTGGTTTAATCACATCATCAGCTGTGTGCACAATTGAATTGTGTCTGCCCTACTTTGTTTTAAAAATTTATTACAGTCATCAGTAATCCCAGTAAGTTTTAGAAATATGTTAATGATGCAAAATAAGTGATGAAACTAAGGAATGTAAAAGCAAATCTGTGACAAAATTTCACCTTCATGCCGCACAGAATGAGTGCTGTCAGCATTTTTTACTTACACGTTCTTTGTTTGATTTCCCTTTTTCACTTTTCTGTCTCCAAGACCAGAACTACGTAAGTGTTATACATGTAAAATTCCAATAAAATGGATGGCTCTTCTCATGTAAAAGTACACATTACTGAATTGGGTGTAGTTGTGTGCTTTGTTTTTTAATTTGTTTTGTTTTTTTCTTAGATGATTACATGCAGAATATATGTTTAGTAATTTAGAAATAAATTATATTATAAGGCTATTGCCCTTTCTGTGCAAAATAAATTTTTCCTGCCTAATCCCCATTTTTGTTTACTTATGCTATTTTTTTCCTTAATATATTTGTATTTACAGGCCTGCTCCGAGAAAAAGTGAAGCAGTAAAATTTAACAAATTAATTAGCGATGGTTATGGGACTGTCTGGTTTCAGCAGTGTACTGGATGGGAAAAAAAGATTCAAGAAACATCAGAAAATAATGAGCAGTCCAAAGGTAAAATTATTGAAAGCTGCTTCTTTTTAAAGTGAGTTGGGATCTCAAGGTAACAGCAGAAGGTAGCCTGAATGATTTGTGTTGCGCTCTTTGAATATGGTGAGACTTACTGAATTACTATACTTAGCTTACAATACCCTATGACCAGCTAAAGAAAAGAGTGCTTCTGTTTGTAGTCAGCAAAAGCAGGGGCTTTCATGGGTTTTTTCATCTTTACAATTTCAGAAGTATGCACTTTTCTGATCCGAGGGCTCCTGTGTGACGTGCTTTTTGTAAAATGCTGCAGAGACACAGCTGTCCTCCTGCCTAAATTTAATCAGACTGTAAAATATTTGTTGCCTATTTGTTGCAGATCGTCTTTGGCCTCTTGATATTTTTCTGAAAATTTCTGTGACAAATGTTGTCGATACTCCTGTTTAAGAAACAGATCACGGTTCGTAAAAATTTGTCAAAATAAATACATGCACATTGTTGAAGACAGTGGTATTGCAACAGTTTTATTAGAGAGAAAAAGAGTTATCCAATGTTTACCTATGATTTCAAACCTTATTTTGCCATGCACACTGGTAACAGCTATGAAAGAAATGACTTGAAAATACTTAGGTATAAGGTTAAAGGGCGGAAAATTCCCCTTACTTTTGTCAAAGACCTTTTGCTTAGGCTTTTTGCAGTGGCTTGGTAACCATGGTGGGTATATCCGTTTTCTATAGCAAGCTTTTAAAATGCTATTGAACACACACATTGCAAGCTCCAGAATATATTTATTTTTTAATTTGTATCAGTGAATACTTGTGTATACACTGGGGATTGCCATGATTCCCTTGACCTTGATATACCAATGTGTGAAAGTCTTAGAGGCCAGTAAATTTGGTTTCTGTGACACTTTAGCACTTCTTGAATTCATCTTTGTGTCTTCCATTAATGTATCTACAGTAATATTATTTTTTGGTGTATGTGCAGAACCTGTTCCTCCAGGTGAGTATTAGAAGAAAACAGGCAAACAGAAAACTAGAAGTCGTGTATTATTGTTCAGAAGAGAAACTGCTATAAAACTAAGGGATGAAGCCAGATCTCAGTCTGGACCTGAAAGAGGGTGCAGAACCTGAGAAGCTACTCTTCAAAGTCGACTTACATATCCAAACTCCGATCATGCAGAGGATGCTGCCTTGGGAGGCACAATGACCTACCAGTTCATAAAAAGTGCTCTTCCTTAGTGGGAAAAAATACCTTGAATATTCTTGTGTTTTCAGATTCCATTTAACTTTCTTGTGCACTGACATTTTTCATTTCCATTACTGTGAGTAAAATGATTCGGGATTTTCAAAACCTCAAATTCATTCATTTGGTGATAGTTGATTTCTTTAATGTGAAGTGTGCCTCTAACGGGACGTTTGGGATATAAAGAAAGCTGAAGATTTTTCAGATTAATCGTGATACCGGTTTGGTTATACCACTTCTGCAAAGAGAACAAAATGATGGGTGTACTGTAAAGGCTGCTGAAAAGTCAGTATGCTGCGTAGTTTGATACACAGATACATCTTAATTTTGAGATGCTTTTCTTTCACAAATTCTTCGATAGCATGATGCCCGCTTTGCTTGTATTGGCTTCCTTTGTCAATCATAGCTATTCCGATTGAGATTGATTCTGTATCTCAATGTAAAAGGAGATTTTTTTTTAATGCTCTTAACAGTATGATTTCATCCAGACATGTGCCTTTGTTATGTGTTAGATTGTCCGAATAATTGACTGGACAGAGTTAGCTAAAGTCCAATTCAAGTTTTATTAAATTCAAGCAAGCGATAGCAAGCAAACAGCGCTGGGTGGCCGGGGAGTCCTCGCTCCACCAACGGCTCGCGCCTTCCCCCCTGGAGTCCTTGGTTTTTATACTCTTCTACTTCCTTGTACCACGTGTACTTCTGCTGCTTTCTGCGCCTGTGCATTGTGTTGCTAGGGGGTCTTTCTCTGCCTCCTGGTAGTCGTAAGGATGAAGGCTGAAGGTCTTCCTCGTTGCCCTGTGGGTGAACTTTTGCAAAAATGTGATTACTCAACTCCCCTCAGCTACGGGTCTTGTTTATTTTGCCGAATGTCCTTCGGTTAAGCTATCAAGCCTTGCAAGCACATAAATCTTCCATACATAAATTTTCCATACATAAATCGTCCATACCCTCCCATATAGGTTTAATGAACAAAGCACAATATGTTACCTATTACACCTTGAGTCAATTTTAGCCTTGTCCTTTTCAGTCTTTCAGGTACGTGCTGCAGGTAGTGCTTGTATTTCCTTCCCACTTGGGCACTTTTGTCTGCTCATCCAAAGCAATTGGCAGCAGGAGCACCTTGCAGCTCCCTTTTGAGATGGAGCTTTCTCTGTTGTCTCTTGCTCAGGATTAAGTCCGAGACATATCAGACAGGAGACGTAACCCATTCCCTAGGTAGATCTATAACCCATTTGAGTTGGGTTATAGATTTGCATCATACCGCAAACTTTGTAGGTAGCTTGTCTATCTTGTTAGTTAAAAATTAGAAGTACTGGGATTTGTATGCATTTTGACGTGAGAGAGAACCTGAAAATTTTAGTTGATCTTTTTATTCTTATGGCTGAAGTTATCCTAAGAACTTTAAACTTTTTTTATTGCAGATTCAGTGCCATCACAGTCTGAATCAGCACCTGCAAGCAATGAGTCAAAGCCACCGCTTCACGGATGTAATAAGTAACTTAAAAAACTGTTGGGGAAAGTAAAGCCTTATATGGCTTATATAGTCCACTATTTACGTGTTTGTTAGATTACTTTTTATAGTTGAACTCATCCCTGATACACTGATATTTTAACACTTGCTCTTTTATCTACTTGAATTAGGATATATCCCTGAAATCTTATGAATAATTAAATATTTATTATAAAGCCCACTAGAAAGTGGATGCAATTTCAATAAGATATTTTTATTAATACTATGAAAAGTGAAGTTTTTAATAAGTAAAACAGTAATTTTAGTTTCCTTTTCAGAGTGCACACCTTTGAATCCAAGAGATGAAGATTTTAAAATGTGTTACTGAACATACATTTCTTTGAACAGAATATTTAGAGGATTTGGCTTAACAGTGCTTTTCTTTAGAACTTTGACATGGAAATTGATTGGAAATCGGTAAACTTTATTGCTAATCTGAACCCTCAAAACTTTTAGTGAATGTTTTTGAAAGTTTTGCTGTTGATGTTGCTAGACCCAGCATCTGAGTCCATCTTTGCTGTTCATTCTAACCAACAATTCAACTGTCTAAGCTGTATTTACAAAAATAAAAGACTAAAACGTATGAAAATACCTAAATGTGCAGTTGTTGTTTGGTCAGCAAAGTTTTCCAAATATAAAAAAGCTTACATCAAGCTGTATCTGAGAGTGGAGGAAAAAATTACTGCCCTGTATCTGTTTTCACTTACAATTTGTGTTGTGGCTTATGTTCCGATACATTGAAACCATTAATTTTGCTGTGAAAGCAAAGCTTTTGGTGAAATCTCTTTTTCTAGGCTAGAGTATCAGGGGATGCCAGGGCTGGAGCTCATAGTATTAAAACCTGACCAGTAGAAACACTGATTATACAGAAGCACTAAAGAATAAGCTTGTGTGAAGACATTGTGTATGGATAACAGACAAATCATTGGTACCCTTAGGATTTCAACCATAAAATTTTACACCTAATGCAGTGATCACCAGTAGCTGCGTGATTTCCCCCCCCAAATAAGTACCGTTTTATGATTTTTTCAGCATCATTCAGGCATATGAACATGGCTTATCTGGGAATTCAGCTATCTTTATTTGATAGAGTCTTTGGATAAGGTTATAATTTTTATTTTTAGGGACTGTTAAAAGGTGTAATAGAGGGCTGGGTTTGTTGTGCCCACCAACAGTAAACTGCAACAGTGAAATAAGTTCTGTGTATGACAGCCTTTGTAGCGTACTTTAAGGGTATTACAATCAGCAATAGTACTACTTTTCAGTCTCACTTTGATCTTCTGACTCCTGTTATCATAGGAGAAACTTCTTTTGCAAATACTGTTTGCAGTTACGTGCTTTACTGGACAAAACATCATCTTGTATTTCCCTTTTCTTTTATGATGAAACCCTCTAGAGCTAAGTGGCTTAATGGTAAGGCAGCCAAGTGGGTTTTTTTAATGCTCATTAGTTGAGTAAGAAGGGTTTTTGTTCTGAAGCATATCTTGAATCCATTTTAAATATCTTTTTTTTTTTTTTTTGTAGAAAGTTTTCTAAAAGGTATTTAGTACAAATTTACTGAAAAAGTTGGAGACAGTAATGCTATCACCAAAAAAAAAAACCCAACCAAAACCAACTAGCACAGGTATTTAAAAGTATGTACAAATCCATAGATCACCTGTTCACATAGACTTGAAGGTGTTTGCTGTGCTAAAACCCTCAAAATCTATTCCATAAAATAAGAATTCCTGCATGGCTGCAATATTGCTGACCTGCAGAGAAGAATTCTAATCATTCTTTTCTATATTATGGTCTCCTTTTCTCTTTAAGATCTGTACAAACCTTCCTGAGTTAACTTTATTACTTCTTGTAATGTTGTTTGATGTCTAAGTCCTCTTCAGTTTGGAACACTTTTTCCTCAGTATTGGAGTTCTTGTCCAAAACACTCGTATTTTTAGGCAATTGTTAGAGGCAGAGACAGAAAGACAACCGAGATCCTAACTTGGTCACTCAGCACTGTTATTTTGCTTTACTTTAGTTGTGTTTTTAGACGTGTTTATAGTGCTGGTTTTCAGATATTTTAATAGTGTACACCATATCCGATTGTCAAAATGTTCTCTTTTTACCTTGGTCACCATTAGGTAACATCCACATGACATTCCTCAAAGTCTTAAAAGTTTGCTAATGTGCCTTTAATGTATACTTGGCTTTCCTTAGTCAAGCCGAGATGTTCGATCTGCACTGTCGGTCAGCTGAGTCTTCATGGATCACAGTTTGCATGCCATGAGTTAGAATATTAACAGCCTAAGGTTTCTCTTTGTGAGGGCGGGTGGAGAACCCCGGCATTTGTGTTTGTGCGTTCAGAATAATGGAGAGCTGCAGCAGAAGCATAACCTGCCGTCTCCAAGGGACAGGAAATCAAAGTAGTGTGACAAATCAAAAAGCTCCAACTGAACACAAGGATGGAAATGTGTTGCTCGAGTTTATCTTACCCCAGTAATTATGTTGTTTTATTTATTTCTGAGTCAATGCAGTCACACAACTGGCAGTTTTCAAAGCCATCAGCAGTTCCATATAAAAGCGGTGGAAGCTTCTGGGTCTGGAAGGGTTTTCACTGTTTGTTTTTCAGAGAGATGCCGAAGTCAAAAGCTGGGTGCTTACTTACAAAATCTAGCCTTATTGTTTTAAATGCTGAAACGTTTATTTAGTGTATTGTGCTCCATCTCTGACTTGAATGCCTTTAAGCAGTAAGTGAGATAATTTCTTTTTTTGAATACTGATTGCTTTGCAAGCCCAAAGATAAAAGCGCAGTTCCATTTTATGAATTACATCCAAGTATACTGAATATGTGAATATTTTTAAAAGAGAATTCCAGATACAGATTTAAAAATAACTTGGAAATTTAAGTACCAAAAAATAATTTTCCTTTTACATGCAACCATTTAACTGTAGCAAATTCTAATGTCTGTTTTCGTTTTAATGTGACTGAATACATACTTCATCATTACCACTTATGTCTTTTCGGACTAGACTAAAATATAAACCTGTTTTCAGAGGTCAAGCGTGTATATATATATGTGTTGACTTTCTTGGTGTAGCAATGCGAACAAAAATTGACTTGACACATGCATTTCTTAAGCATCTAAAATTTCACTGACTGCAGCTTATCTATTTCTTAAATACTTGTATCGGTACTGAATACACAGACTTAGTTGTAAAAGATGTAGGATGAACCCTAATTTTTTTTCTGTAAACAAACAGCCAAATACTATGCTTTTGCAGTTCTCTGCAGCTTATTTTTCAGAATGTAGTTACATGTTATGCTATAGCCCAGAAAAAAGCTAGAAATAGAAATATAGAAGTTCAGTCTTAGCACGTTTTGTCCTCTTCCTAATAGTTTTAATGATGCTAAACATCCAGAATGGCTGAAGAATCAAAATGCAGTAGGTAAGTGTCTGAGCAGCTGCACTGAATTATTTGACCAATTGACTATAAAAATGGTATATGGTGAGCAGGAAGAGGTATATTTTTGACTATAAAAGGACAGGCAGCCTTACTTTCCATATATGCAGGTTTTAATGCGTACAATATAAAAATCTGGAAAGTGAGGCCAGTTGTGGGTGATGTAATTTATCATTGTAATGATGCCAGTATGTAGCTGTGTATTTTTCACCCTTCTAAAAACATTTATTAACATACTTTGTTAATATTTTTAATAAAAATATAACGTATTTTTACTTAAGAGTTATGTTTGCTGCTAAGATACAAAATAGCTGTATCAACCCAAAGATTACAAAAAGAGGAAGCTTAATTTTTTTAAATTTTAAAAGTTTTCTAGAGGTGACTGCATGCAAAGGTTATTACCAATTATTAGACTCGTAGAGATAAATTATTTACTGAACATTTCAGACAAGGTAACTATAGTTACCTGATTATTCTTTATTTACAAAAGAAGTAATTTACATGGATTATGTTCCTAATGTATAGCTGAATGACACACTTCCTGAAAGCCAAAGCAGATTTTCGAGTGGACCCTGAGATGGAGGGGTAGGTAATATTCCTATTTAAAGGAAAAGTTTCCTCCACAGAATTAAAATACTGTTCTAAGGTTCTTATTTTGGATTGTCGACTACCACAGCTTTCAAGCATTGACAAATATTCAAGGAACAGAATAGGAGGCTGTACTTCTGTTTTACCTACTAGAGATTTAAACAGGTCAAACAGGTGACATTTTTCTTAGTTTGTTGAGCACTTTCTCTTGTATGCCGCTCATGGCTAGAAATGCATCTGTGTGCAGGGGATTTCTCACTCGTATTACCATAAAAAGTCCTTTGGTGTGAGACAGGATATTAAGAGATTTTACTCTAAATGCCCAATACGTGATTTTGTAATAAATACATCTTGGCAATGTCTTGTGCCCAGTGTGTTTACCCTCCTGTGTAGAGAAGGTTATGTACCAAGAAGGTTTCAGTTGCTCTGTCTCCCAAGAATTCCCTGCTATGACAAACTACAGTGTGGTTCCGGTAGGAAAAATTATTTTAAAAATTGTATTGCAGGTTTCTGGGTTTAATGCCTTCAATTACTGTGTGAACAATGTTATGTTTACAGAATGCTTTATGATTTTTTTCATTTGCTTTGCTTTAGAGTTCTTGCTAACTGATAGAAAAGGATAATCCTTTAGTCATTTTAAATTTGTCTCCAGCTTCAACCAGTTCTGCGGGACTAAGTACATCTTACCTTGAAAGAACTAATGTTTGGCCTACATCTCTCTTCCATAAACATTCGAGACTTGACTCTGTAAGATAGACCCAGGGAAGCAGGTGTCAAGCTAACTGTATTTTGCAGTTTCTCTTTCTAGGTCCCTCATAATTTCTAAACTTGCAGGATTGTAGCTCTGTTTCCATTGCAAACGTTACTTCTGTAGCTAAGTGCGCTGGATCCCTCTTGCAAACGTTTTCATCTCCAGGTCAGGATCTCACTGGTGCTTTGAGGAACAGG